CACGAAAAAAAAAAAAAAAAAAAGACAAAAAGGAAAAAAAATAAAATAAACGGCTGTAATCATGAGTCTTTCTTAGACATACAGGTTTGTTATGAAGACTTCCTAAAGATGTGTGTGCATGTACACATATACTCTGAGAATAAGGTATTGCCAAAATTATTGACTACACATACACTTCAAAAGCTGCTTTTATGTTATATCAAGTATGATAGAGTCTTGCACCAAGAAAATAAATGACCACCCAGGCACATGATCTTTTATACACATCAGTATCTTTTCTCCTATGTTTTCTTAAAGGATCAAGCCCCATGCTAAAAGGCAGAACTTAAATCTGAAGCTGAGCCCTGTATCGGAGAAGATTTAGAATTAAACTCAGCCTGTGCTCAGGCTTGTTAAGAGTTGCTTGTGGTCCTCACCCAGACCCAAGTGCCCTGCGAAGGCATTCTAGAAGCAATGCTTTCTTGGCAGTAGCAGTTGAATGGAGCAATCCTGTTTGATCTTCCACACTGGTTAACCAGCCCCCAGGAAGGGAGTGGGGTGAGGGTGGGACCAAGAGGCTTTGAGACTTGGCTGGGTCAAGCATTCTGACTGTAATTTTTTATTTCAATCCATATTTAGTAACTTGGAAAACAGCAAGAACTTGAGTTGATGAAAGGACTCAATTGCAGAGAAGCACTGTGGTAAAAGAGATTTTTATTATGGCTTTGTACAGCCTGAAGTCAGTAACCAATCAAGAATTTATTTCTATTCCTATGTATCAAGTAGTGAAATGTGATACTTCTGGTTTCTGCTCCTGATGCTGAGTGGCTAGAAATAGGAGGAATTACTTTCCCTAAGTTTTTTCAAGAGCAAATCACAATGTGTCTTTTTCCTTGGTAGGAATGGCCTTTTAGACTAAAGATTATTAGTGGGAAAAAATAAGAGCGCTATAGAGCTACATGAAATAGGTTTACGATATAAGTGGGGCGGGGGGGAGGAACCACCACCCAGATGTATACATTAAACTTATATGAAAAATAAATCAATTTATCAAAGAATTCCCCAGCATATAAAAATACAAGAGTAAATTTCAGTTTAGCCTATGTCTAAATTATTGCAAATACTAAACAGGACAATATAACCTATTTAAAGTGTATACTTTTATTATTTATGCTACTAAGGAGAAAGACGGGAATTAATTTTTATCATTTGTCCTGTTTGCAATGTATATTTACATATTTTATATCACTGAATCTTCACAATATCCAGGTGGGTCAGGTATGAATTATGATAGACAAGGTGACTGGGGCTCTGAAAGGTTAAGTCATTTGCCCAAGATCTTGATGCTAGTGAGCTGCAGGGCCTGGCTCTGCCTCATCGACTCAGAATGCTAAGGCTGATGTCCATCCATAGCCAGTAACTCACACTGCGTAACTCTGGGAATCAGCTGCTCCCACCTTCGGTCTCCACAGTATTTTTTTACAAACTCCCAGAACTTATCACACTGCACTATTTTTTATGCTTGCCTCTACAACAGGATTGTGAGCTCCTTGGAAACAGGGGTTGTTGCATCTTAGTAGAGTGCTCGCGTACAATAGATGTTCCTATTTACTGAATTACAATTATTCCTGTGTTGACACCACTGTTCTGAGACTAACATATTTTTAATGGGCGGCTCCCTTCCTTGTTAATGATGATTAAGTCATCAAAATATTGTTTTCAACTTAAAAAGAAATGTTTCATTGTATTAGTTTACACTTTGGTTGAAGTATGACTGTTTATGAAATCCTAACAAATCCCTAAGGACTACAGCAGGCCTTTGTTAACTAAGCCAGTGGGGTATGAATGGATGTGTCAACATAATATGTATGTACTAATTGGGTAATTTTAATAAAAATTACAGATCACACTTTTACTTATAACCCATGGTAACCTCCTGGGTATTATAACAAAATACATGTGACAAAAAAATAAACTAGTCTCTCTGATATCCACTACATATATATAAATGATTTTTTTTTCCTTTTTGTCTTTTTTCGTGTCCGGCAACGGATCACAACCCTCAGTGTCGCGCCCGAACCGGACCGGGACCGGCAACGGGATCGCAACCCTCGGTGCTGGGCCCGCACCTCGCTCAGCCAGTGAGCGGGAACCAGTCTGTATGTGGGATCCGAACCCTCGGCGGGAGCGCCACTGCACTCCCAAGCGGTGCACTGTAGCAGTGCGCCACCAGGCCGGCCCTATAAATGATTTTTTTTAAATGGTCAAGTTCTTTTCGTTAGTTATGCTTGGCAGACAATACAGACTTATCATATTTAATATGATAACTAGGTCATATTAAAGTTTTACTCATAACTGGGTCAGGAAAAAATCTGGGAAAAACAAAATGAAATATTAAAAAGTAGAAAACTATTATACTGCGTTTCTGAAAAGAATTTTTTCTCCTTTCCATCCCTAAATAACTATCCTGAAGCACAACTAATAAAAGGATAAAATATAAGTAACTATTGTGAAGTCCATGTATTTTTACAAATCTAAGCAAGACTGGATTCTAGAGAGACTGGAATAGATTTTATCAT